CTGGCCTCCTCCTGCTCTCCGTGTTCCTAGCTGGGTCCTGCTGGCCCTGGCTTCAGCAGATCCTGTGCTGCCCGCCCTCCGCATCACCCTTCCTCCGAGTCACGTCTGCAGGATTAGGACAGTTTATAGCTTGTCGGGGGGTAGCCTCCACCATGATTTTGTGGTATCTAGCTGCAAAGTTAAAAAAAAGGCTGAACTGACTGCAGGACTAGTAGCAGTAAATAAATAGTGCAGTAGATAAAGCTTAGAAGAAGGTTGAAATAATCCCTCCGTAAACTGTGGCATCAGTGCATCTGTTGGCCATACTTCTTGTGTGGGGTTTGGCTCCTCGCAGGCTCCCACTGGCCTCCCCTTCCAGGCAAATGCCGTTGAGTTGGGGTTAGTGTCTTGGGCTCTCAGGGCTTGTTTGGGAATAATTTTATTGATGTCTTAAACGTCCATTGATATGTTTAAGCTCCCACCACCAAAAAGGCAACCGCCACTGACTCTGGCCCCCTTTAAGAAAGAGCAGGTGATAAAAATGGAGCGAGAAAAGTGAAATTGTATTCATGGAGCTACCAGCCTTAATACATTTGTAGGAGGTATGGTTAGAAATTGTGATTCTGGAAGATTGGCGTCTTGTTAAGAATGGCAAGTGTTTATAAAATGAATTCCTGGCAGGTAGCGCTGCCTCTATGTCTAAATGGGCTCCTCTTATTGGGCAGAAAAATGCTTTCTAAGGTCTCATCTGCATTAGCAGTTGACTGTGTTTCTTGGCCATTATTCTTCCCTTCCCCCACCGTGGGACAGTGATAAACCAGAAGAAAAAACAAACAGGAATTATTTTCAATGTAATGGCAGAAAGTTTGACTCCAGCGTGGGTCTCTGGGACTGTTAAACATTTTCCTGTGCTCTCCCCAAAGAGATGCTGGAGGTCAGTACTGTCCAAGTTTGAAGCTGTGATCCAAAAGCACAGGAGCTTCATTAGCAGTTTTGGATTAAGGAGTTCCTCCCTGTCCTCCCCAACTGTTCCTTCCCATTCCCATGCCAGAGTGCCTTCTGCTCTCGGTTACGCTGTCAAGCGTGTTTTTGAGCATGATGAGCCATGATCTGGGTTCAAACAGACAAAAAAAGGCCTTACAGAAAGAGATGTTACTTGTCAGCCCATCAAGTTTCCTGGTCTTGTTCACTAAGCTGCCTATGCAAAGAGTAGCGTTAACATGCAGCTAAATTGGAATGGGACTGAAGGTTGGGGGTGATGGAATGATGGAGTGCAAGGTGCTCCTTTGCCACTGGTGGAGCTGAGGCCGCTCCTTCCCTATGCAGCCCCAACCGGCTCCATTCCTCTCCCCTGGCCATCTCCATCCATAGTCTCTCCAAGGTGGAGGAAGATTGTGCCAAGTGACCCATGGTGGGCATAAAGCCATTTTTCTGCTGGTTGACTTGAGCATGAAGGTTCAGACTGGCAAAAGTAACCAGGCTCCTGGAGAGGTTTGCTTAGGCCAGCAGATGGATATCCATGACTCAGGAGCTCATGGTGCTGATGAAGCCGGTGGTAACTGGATGCCTTGGTAGCTCTGAAAGTACTGGTAGAAGTTCACTTGTCCTGATACAAAAAATACAGATAGCTGCAACTGCATGTAGCTGCTTCTCAGCGTAAACGTGCAGGGGAAGTGCGACGTTAATGTTGACGAGGAATAGAAGATTGGTGCATAGGTGCACCTATCTTCTATTTTACAGCCCGCTTTGGATTACAAATGTTGATGTTTCGGTCTCCTTAAAAGGATCGACTCTTCCTGCTTTTTCCTTTCTGCTGGGTAAACACTGGACAGAGGCTGGAGTGAATGAACTTGGCACGCCTGCTGTTTTTGTATGGCTCACCTTAGTTTCTGGCTTTGTAAGTTTGTTTTATAATGTAGTCTGATGGAGGGTGAAGCTGGCTTGATGGTAGGTGATAGCCTCTGAAACTTTACATGCTTTTGCTGCCTATTGTGGAGAATTTCAAAGGTCTTTACAAACTTGAATGACTCTTAATGGCAGAAGGTGATTGTCTAGCTGCTCACTGATGGATGGAGTTCAGGTTCTTCCATCTGGAGCCATCTGAATAAGACTCCCAAGTGCACTCATTAACTCTGCTTAGGGACAGACAGAGGCTACTGTTAAGGCATTGCAGAAGCTGATGTTTCTTTCTGTACAAATAAATCATGCGTTTGACAGCTCTGGAGGGGAGATGTGGCACTTTCATTTCCTGTAGAGTTGATCTGATATTTTCATCACAAGGATAATGTTGATGTGCAACTGTCACAAAACCCACTACATTTTAGCACCTTTGTGGTCAGTGCCGTCCTGAGGCAGTCGGGGTGTCTTCTAAAGACATCAGGCTTTATTTTCAGCAGCACATGCTCTTAGAGGAGCACGGGGTGTGTTTCGATGAGCAGAAGCACGTTGTGCTTGCACCTCTGTGAAGGATGTTGCCCCAGAAGATGCCCACTGTTCCCTCCAACTGGACATCGTTGCAGGTTATTTTTAGCTGGGTTTACTTTTACTTTCAGATAAACACATCTTGGAAGCCACTCCTTCCTTCTCACAAGCCAAACCTCTTTTCTGATTACCTTGGATTAATTTGCCTTGGTGTGGGTGATGGATGTGAAGATGCGTGCTGACAGCTGCAGGTGCTAATCCCAGAGGAGTCCCAGGGTGCCCAAAAGGAGATGAGCACCGCAACATCTGCTGGGGAGCAGCTGGGGAAGCCCCTGGGGACGTGGGAAGGGAGGGATGACTGGCTTGACTGTGCCGTTTTGGGCAAGACTGGCTTTCTTGTAGTAGTGATGTTGGCAGCTTTCTCGTCTCCTGAAACACGTTGCTCTGCACAAAGACAGCTTCTGTTTCTTCTGCGTTGCCTGTCCCAAGTGGGCTTTGTTGCTGCTGCCTTCTGCATGACTTTTCTGCCTTCTGGCTAATTTGTTCATTCAGATGGGCTAGAAGTCTGGCCTAGGGGCTCATTACCCAGAAGACAGACGAGTCCCACTGCTAAATGGGAGCACTCATATATCGAACGCTGAAGACGCTGCACAGCGTTTCCAGGAATTGTCTCAAAGCACACGCATACCTTACAAAGAAATGCATCTAAGATGATCGTTGCACCTGCTTGTTTCTTCCTTGACAGACGAATCAAAATTTGCCTGTGTTTTTAGTACATTGACATTTGCATTTTTCAGCTTTGACCCAACGTGTAGCAGGGGAAGATGGCACAGATCTCCTGTACATGCCGCAACCTGGACAGTAATCATTGATGCCAAGCAGAGGTGACTGCAGTGGCGTGACTGGCTCCTCACCACCATCCCAGGGGCTGAAAAAGCTTCATCTGCGTCACCCTTGCCCAGAAAATAGCTTCCCTCTTGCACGGAGAGGGGTTTTGCACAAGGGCTCGACTGCCGTCAGGTTCTGCGATTGGCTGGTTTTTTGTCTGATGTGAACCTGAGAGGGAGCTGAGGAGTTGCAACCATTTTCTGAGCTATTTTAGAAATTCATAGGCACTGGAAAAGGCTGCTGCCGAAGCGTGAGTGACCAGCCCATGCAGCAGTAAATGAAATGCCAATATGTTTGCTAAGAGATTAGCGTGAGCACGACTGCTGGTAAATTCTCTGAACACATCAAAGAGCCTTATTGTTGCGCTCAGGTTTTAATTCCTTATTAGTTTCAGGAAATACATGTCCTCAGAGCAATGAGAGGAAACTTTGAACGTTTTTCTTCCTCTTGTGCTGGGTGTGGGCTTGGTACTGCCTAATTGTTAGTCTGTCTGATGCCTGTGCTCCCATAGGAAGCAAGAACAAACCCATTTACATTTGTGTCATTGCTGCATGCTTCCAAATATGTGGCCTACTCATTTTCTTTCTTTCTCTAATTTTTAAACTTTTTTTTTTAAGATCAAAGGTGACAAGAATTTCGGAGCAGAGAAGTTAAGAATGATGCAGAGAACACAGATGTGAAGAACAAAAGAGAGAGGAAAGAGCTGAGCCCGGTGCAGAGGAGGAGAGGAGACGAAGCAGCCTAAATGCAAGTACTTGAACATGGAAATGATGGGTTGCAGGCTACTTAACTGGAGTTTAATGTGATGCTTTAATCTGCCTCTAGTACTAGTTGGGGCTTTCAGAGAGCATTAACCTAAGAGACAGGTTAATGTTTTTAAAATTTTCTGCCTCGAGTTCAAGACTTTGGACTCTTATGTCAATAATTTACAGCTCTAGACAGCGAAGTGGCATCAGGGTCACGTGTGTGAGAGAGAAAGAGAGAAAAAAAGAAGTGAGTTTGAGTGTTAGCTGACTCGTACAGTGTGGCGTACAGTGTGGCGTAGTGCAGCCGAGGGGGCTGTGAAGCACTCACTTCCTAGCTAAGCAGTATCAAAATGTAAAATAGTAGCTAAAAAATAGTGACTGGGCTGATCAGAGGAAGCTGAAGGGAGAGGGTCAAACTACTCAGCCAGAACCAAAGTGGTCTGATAGATTGCTGTGATGTAAAAATGTATTTTTTGTAATTTTAGTCGAGTTTATGGGACAGAGCCAGCCATTTGAAAGCATTCATATTGGCAAGTGCTTCAGTTTAGCTTTTAGTTTAGCGATGCCTCCTGCATGTGAATTTTTTTGGTTGCCTTTTTTTTCTTGGCAAAATAAGGTCTTGTGCAAATGCAGGTATATGGGTGCCAAAAAGAGGTCTCTTAGGAGGGTAATTTTTTTCGTTGCGGCCTCCGGTATCCCACCTGTATCAGCAGACAAGCTTTTACCAATATACTGTGCCTTCTTCAGGTGAAGGTTTTCCCAATCCTGGTGTACCAGAAGAGTGTTTTCTGCCATAGAGAAGACTCTTATCTCAGCTGCTTTTAGGGCAGGCACCTACAAAGATCCAAAGTCACTGTTACATTTATAATTGTTCCATGCCTGCAAACATTTAATAAGCCTGTACTGTGGGGGAGCTGCCTGGGAGTTCTGCCTGGAACACAAGTAACCTCGTCCCTTGTTCGCTGCAGCTCCTTCCTGGGTGGGTAACCATGCCTGTCGAAAGGATGCGGATGCGCCCCTGGCTGGAAGAGCAAATCAACTCCAACACGATACCGGGGCTGAAATGGCTAAATAAGGTAAGGGGGGGTACGTGTGTACATGTGCTGAAGAGGGACTTTACAGCAGCACCTGAGGTTTGGATAGGTAAATGGACTCATTCTTGGTTTTGAGAGGGGTGACATGGGGAGGAAGGGCAGAGCTGAATGCTTCCGGCTGGATTCCTCCAGCCTCACCTGCCAGATCTGAGGTGTCTTGCTTTGGTCTGGTGGATTTGTGGCTCCTTTGAAAACATTTTCCAACTCTTTGTTGTCAGAGCGAGGGTTTCTGGAGACTCTGCTAGGTTTTTATTTAAGCTGGGAACAGATTGCTCACCAGGTAGTGTCAGGGGGATGTGAACAAAATGCTCTGCTGAGGCAGGAGGCTGCAATTCTGTGTTAGACTCTGGCTTGAAGCAACGATCTCCTGATTCAGACTTGTGTGACTTCTCTGATACTACTCAGCTTGGGAGAAAACGGGGTAACTTTGCCCCTGCCTGACCCAAACCTCGTATTCTTGGTCCTGAGATCTAACTGAGAGCCCTAGACACTTTGAGAGCACAAGCTCCAAAATGTCAGCATTCAATTTGATTTTTTTTTTTTAATTGGCTCAATAAAACTGAGGAATGTGTTAGAGACTTTGAACAGTAATAAACCCCGCAAATATTGCATGCGTTCTGTGGTATGCAGGAGAATAATTCACCACACTGAAAAGCATGAAGCGGTTTTGGCTACAGAGGCTACTTTATTATCAAAATGGGTGGTAATACACAAAATCAGGTGCAGAAACAGAGGAGCTGCCACCCTGGTTAAGACACTAACCCAGAGAATCTGATATCCTCTGTACAGTAGTGGTTGTAGTGTTCAGGTGTTCGTTTTTAGAGCTGAAGAATGGCAATTAAGATTACTACTTTTCATTTCAGCTTTCAAAGCTAGAAATGCTCCTGACTATAAAATTATCAGGAGCCCTTTAAGTTTCAGCTATGAATTTTGTTTCTCAGGAGCTTCCTGCATCAGTGACTCTCACATGCTGTGGCTGGGTAAATAAATATTGCTTTATCCATTCCCTAGTTAGCTGCCCTGTGAATTTGAGTAGGTCCTTGTTCTTGCATAATGGGGCCACAGCTGAAGAGGAGGAAGAGACCAGTTTTTACTGTTGTCTTTGTAATTTGAGTCCCACGTTCAGGTCCCTATGGATTCTTCTTGAGTGTCTCTACTTTGGTGTCAGGTTTCTCCTGCTGACAGTCCTTCTCTGCTGTCCTTTGCTGGGCATTCCTTCCCAATCCTGAAATAATTTCTCTGCGCTTAGCAGGACGCAGTATTTCAGATTTGAGCATATAGCTCTTACATACAATGTTGTCATCCTTAGATTATGTTCACATAATCTTTTTTGATACACCCCAGGGATGTACTTGCCTCCTTTTGCTCTGCAGTGTGAAAACGCTGCCACTGTCCTAAGGGCTTCCAAGTTCAGCCCACCAGCCCACAAAGGCAGTTTGCAAGGCATGTCATGTTGTTTAATGTTTGCAGCGTGTTGTTACAGTGATTTCTGCATTGTGCTTCTGGCATAAAATGTTTGCATGCAAGAGTCAGTAGGAGATTTTGTCCTTAGCATATTCTATATTGACCAAGGCTTGTCTCATAAATAAAGTAGTTTGAAATGTGTGGGGTTTTTTTTCCTAAAACAAAGCCCTGGCTCCTACCAGCAGGATGATACCAGGCTAAGTGGCCTGCCTTGAGGTTTATTAAACTCTGTTCCCCACTTCTGCCCTGTGATTTGGCATCTTTCTGGGTTGTCTTTATTGTGCTCAACAAGCTAATTGCACTTCTGAGCATTTCTGCTTAAAAAATGCTTGAACATTCATTCCAACAATGAATCATTAAACCAAAAATATTTCTATTTTTACTGTAAATCCTGACCATAAACAAAGCCATGCATGGAATCAATGATACAGTATCATATATGTCACAGCCTGTTCTGTACCCACAGAATCGACTCCGGAGGCTGTAGGGTTTTGGTATTTGCATATTTTAATCAGAGTTTGGCAAAGGACAGTCCACATATAGAAAAGAAGGTGGGTCAGATAAGCAAGAGAATGGCACTCTCTGTGTGTGCACAGCCTTTAAGGATATAAGATTTAAATACTAAAGAAACCATTGCCATTCTGGTTTTGTCATTGGCTGTCTCTTCTTGGGGAATTTTTCCAGACTGAGAAAGGAATTAAACCTCTCTTGGTTAAAAATGACAAATCAAGTACAGCTGACATCTAATTCCTTCCCCTACTGTCAGTTGATCACATTATACCTCCTGCTTTGTGTTCCCCTCCAGAACAGACCCCTATCTATAGGGCTTAAAGAAAAAATGCTTGTGTACCTCCCTGGTGAAAGTGTTATCCTGCTGTATGGCATGAGGGAGGAAGGGAATTTCTTTACCTTCCTAGAGAGACAAAACTGGGAGGTGTGAAGCAAATTACATGGTTCAGTAGAGGGCAGAGGTAGTGTGAGGAGGGGGATAATAGGAGGTCCGTGTGCTTTATGGATCTGGAAAAGGAAATTGAAGTAGAAACATTCAGAGTAGCTGTAACAGGAGTCAAGAGGCAAGCTGCTGCTTTGATGGGTGCTTGGAGTATTACCCTCCAGACGGATTTGTCCTATGACTTTCTAGCTGGTATGTGATCTCATGCTCATTCACCTGCTTGGAGTGTTTTGCAACGCTAGGGTTGCAAGCGTTCGATACTGTTTTCCTCTTCCTGCCTGTTTCTAAGAATGTGACGCCTTGTCCCTTTTGATGTCCCCAAGCGCATTTGGTAACAGTTCTTGTTACGCTGCAAAAGTTTCGTGGGTTGTGCTTTTGGCTTTAGGGGAGGCTGATTTTTTAATAGAAACACAGGGCTCTTACACAAATGTCCAGTGATGGGGTGCTGTACCAGAGAGTACATGGTTTTCCAAGGCTAAAAGAAAGCACTGATGAGCCTTTTCCTGTTTAAGGTCATTATTAGGAGGCATCGCCTGAAGAAGAAAATAAGTAAATATTTGATGTGTGAAATCCAAAAATTGTGATTTAAATAGAAAGCATCCAGGTAAACTAGAGCAGAACACGCAATCACATGATGCTGCTGCAACCAGCAGTCTTGTGGGATTTCGGAGAAGATTAGATATTTGATAGGTGACGAGAAAATCTGTACTTTCTATACAGGTATGTAAAATTATATATGTAATATAAAATCATAAGACACATGGATTTATGATTTTGTTATTTATATTACAATTTACTATAAGTCTGTGTGCTTTAAGATATCTAGAATAGGAAAGAACTTTCTGTAATGAACAGAAATGCTGTAATGACTGCTGTTGAGAGTGTCCTGGCACCTTCCTGTGAAGCAGTGTGTACAGCTGATGATGACAGGATGCTACGTCTGGAATCTTTTTAGGTCTGCTAGTTTCTGTAGGACTTTCTGAATTCTCATACGGAGTATGAAATCCATGGTATAACCTCCGTAGCACTGTGTAGCATTGTTCAAACCTCTCCCCATTGCCAAGCATGAGAAGACTTTTTAGTTTGGTCAATCTTAAAGTTCTTGTTGATAGAAATTGTCTTCTATGGGAATATGGATTTTTTTTTTTTTCCATTCTCATTATAGTCTATGGGAGAGTAAAGGCAAGGAAGCTTATTCTAGCTCTGATGAATACAATAGTTCTGTGGACCACAGGATAGTGGGATCTTTAGACCACTTCTATGTGAGGAAAGAGCAGAGCGTCTCTGTAGGATGATTTAACTATATAGAGAGGAAGAGTAAAGAGGCAAAAGGCCCGCGAGAGAAGTGATGGGAATAGATTAAGAGGAAGAATGAGAGTGTGAGGGCTTGAAGGGGAATGAGGAATGTGTTAAATCTGTGCTTTCACCAAATTAAAGAAAAGATGAAGCCAAGAAGGAAGGGAAGAATGCAATTCTGAACAAGTGAATGTAAATGAGAGAAAGGATTGAAGACGAGTTGAAGGACAATACAAAATGCAGGCTCAAAAAAGAAAAGATCACATGGAAAAGAAAGGAAATAAACCTAACCTTGACATTAGTGAAATATTAACCAGACAGACAAGGAAGAAAAGTGATTGTTGGAGGAAGGGCAAAGGATTCATCTCACCCAATCACAGACATCTACAATGCAGTCACTTAAATGAGAGGTGCCTGTCTAGAGCTGTTGGTAGTCAATGGAGAGAAATAACATCTTTTAGGGTGCAAATCAGTTGACGTAGCTCAGGTGGCCACATCAGGAGGAGGGTGCATTTTGCCCTGGAAGTGCTTTTTTCAACGAGAACAGACTTAGATTAGATCTTAGGAAGAAATTCTTCAGTACTAGGGTGGTGAGACTTTGGAATAGATTGCTTAGAGAGGTTGTGGATGCTCCCTCCCTGGAGGTGTTTAAGGCCAGGTTGGACGGAGCCTTGAGTAGCCTGATCTAGTTGAGAGGTGTCCCTGCCCATGACAGGGAGGTTGGATTAGATGACCTCTAAGGTCCCTTCCAGCCTATGCCATTCTATGATTCTTCACAGGCTGAGAAGTGAATCTAAACCTGTAGTGACAGCATTTATAGCACAAGATGTCTGCATGTGAAGCCAGATCAGATCTATTGCACTCAATAGGCGAGAAAAAACAGGTGTTGTGGAGCAAACTCCTTTTGTTAGGCTTTGCAGAAATAAGCGTGAAGAGTTCTGAAACAGCTCTGTAGATCATCACATAGGAATTTGTTCCTGTGTTGTATGGCATAAAAACACAGCTGATCCAGCATCCATCTGGCCCAGTATCCTGTGTGCTAAATGCTTATGGAAGGAGTATAGGAAACACGCTGTTCAAGCCCTGAAAGCCATCAAGCCATCGGGCTCCCAGAGCTGGAGCTGCATTCCAAAATTATCATCTTTAATAGTCACCAGCGTACTGTCTTCCATGAGTTTTTCTGATCCCTTTGGGAATCAGTTTATACTTCCAGCACATAAGGCATGCCCAGGTTTAACTATACGTTGTGTGTTAAAAAAATAAATTGTAAAAAAACCTTCCTTTGGATTGCTTTAAATGCACTGCTCTTTGGCCTAAAGTTTATAAACTAAAATGTGTTCAACTATCTTCAATGCCACCCCTTCACATGGGGGTCTTGTATTTTGTATCCCATTGGACAGATGTCTGCGGTTGATATATTCGTGTGTCCGTTTGCTGGACATATAAATTTGAGAGATCCCTTTCCTTCATCATGCTAGTATTTTACTGGCTGGGTTCTAAATCCCTTGAATTTGCTCTGTTCCTATGGTTGTTCACTTTCATATCTAATTTTTCTAAGCATAAAAGTGTCTGTGCTGCCAAAACTAGCCTTCTTTAAAATGTTTAGGAATGTGTAGCAGTACATGTTTTATCCATGTGTCAGCTTGGAAAGATGCCAGGCTCATGGTCCATGAAGGGGCTTCAGAGTATTTCGTATACTTAGGGCTCTATTCTGCTTTCAGTGACGCCAGTGGGTATTTTCCTGTTGAGTTCAGTGGCAGCAGCACTGGGTTAGAAGGAAGCAAAATGCTTGCAGATGCTGAAACTGCTTTTAAATAAGTGACTTAAAGTCATCAGAAGACCCCTCAAGCGAACCAGTGTTGGCATTTCCTGTTTGTTTTCCCTTCCAGGAGAAGAAGATTTTTCAGATTCCCTGGATGCATGCGGCAAGACACGGGTGGGATGTTGAAAAAGATGCTCCCTTATTTAGAAACTGGGCAATTCACACAGGTATTGGAACTCTCTTTCTGCAGGACAGGTTTTCATGTTGTTTTCTCTTTTAAAGTTACATTTTCCTTCTTTCTTGTTTTTGCTTTTACTAGCACAGAGAGTGAATTTAACTTTCTAGATTTGTGGGAGGCTATGTGTTTTTTTCAAGGCGTGCAATACTCTCCAGCTTTATTGGAGGGCCATAGCTCATTTGCATTGAGGAACATAGTAAAACTTTATTGATTTAAACGTTAACAACGTTGGGTTCAAAACTGTCAAGAGTAGAGCACACTCAGCACTTTGCAGACTTGGACCCTTAGGCTTTTTATGCCTTTCTATGGATCTGAGCCAGACATAATAAAGGTAAATGCTGTGCAAGCTTTTCCACATTGTTGTGGAGTCACATCTGATCTGCAGTGCCCTGGGTCTTTCTTGAGCAGAAACTGTTCATCAAGTGTTCTGGAAATGTGCATGGGAATGAGATCACAGTACTTCTCTTGCAACCTCAGCTATTGTTTGAGTGCTTGTCATGGGAACCGAACGCTGATACCTTGAAGTTAACCTACACTGTTACTAATTCGCCTTAGGTTTTCGATTGCACGTCGTGTGTGCTTAACTTTCTTTTCTTACTTAGGAAAATACCAGTCAGGAGTAGATAAACCCGATCCAAAGACGTGGAAGGCAAACTTCCGTTGTGCTATGAACTCTCTGCCTGACATAGAAGAAGTGAAGGACAAAAGTATAAAGAAAGGAAACAATGCCTTCAGGGTGTACCGGATGCTGCCGTTATCAGAAAGACCTTCCAAAAAAGGTAGAGGGGAGAGCTCGTCCACATGAAAATTGGGGGCATTGTTGTTATTTTGAGGCCTGCAAAATGTGCCAGTTCTACTTCTGCTGTGAAACTAGATGTTTTTATCCAGATGTTCCCCAGAACTTAGGAACAGCTGTATGAAAAATGGGCTACATTCAATTAAGAGAAGAAGCCATGTGGGGAGAGGATCAAGGAGATGTGATACCTCCAAGCTGGTGACGGATGTAAATTGTTTTAGTTCTGTCAAAGCCAATGGAGTTGTGTTCAGATGCTAGTCCCAGGTCTGCTTCAGTCAAGGAAGATGATTAGGGAGATATTAGAGATCAATGCTTTTGACTCAGTAGGGCTCATTCAGAATACGGTGGCAGACGTTTTGGTATCTTTTTTCAAGCAAGGGTAAAAATAAACTGGCGCTCTGCTGAGCTGAGTGGGAGCAGTACACTCTGCTCAGAACATTAAACTGTGAAACCACTTCATTAGTTACGTAGCTATACTAGGCCATGAAAAACCAGCCTCCACAGCATGATAATGATGAAATGGGAAACTGTATTTGAATCCCCAAATTGAGAGATTAGGTCTCCTGCCTGCCAGGAGAGAACCTAACCACCAGGTCAATCTCATGAGTATTTGGTTTCTTATGGAGTAGAAACATTGGCTTCTTTATGGCTCATTGCCATCCTTATGGCTCTGTTACTGATTTATGGAGTAGAACAATGGCTTCCTTAATCTTCTGGTATCCTCTGGTGTGTAGGATTTTTGGACAGAAAGATAACCTGCAAACCAAGTGCACGGTGTTCCTCTAAAATCCAGTTCAGTTCACCTGTAGCTCAGTTTGCTGTTTTCTTAAATTGAGAAGTGAAAGGCACATCTTCAGTTTAAGGTCAGTATGGATGGAACTGAGGAACTCTGGCATTTTTGGGGCAGAATCATACTATGAAAGGGAGATCAATCTGCAAAAGTTAGACCATCTGCTTTTAAACTGTTTCCAGTCTCTTGTCATTGGTGTATTTTGTATGTTCAGGCATGTTTCCCCGAACCATAACCTGTCCCATTGTGGTAGATACCTCTCATAGTTGTAAGAACTGCAAAAGCTCATGATGAAAGCTGAGATTCTGAAGGTGAGGGCTGTAGCAGGAGAGGATTCTGCAACGAGTCCAGTTACTATAAAACTGACATATTTTGGGCCCTGCATATATTCTCACATGCCCTTTCTACATGTCACGTGACTAAATTTATGTGTGAGTGAGAGCAAAAGAATTTGACTGCAAACATTTCTAATTCACAGTGCTGTGTTGTAGTAGAGATGGGAGAAATTCCTGGGACACGTCTGTGCAAACAGTGGGGTAGAGCTGAGCTTGCACCAGCAGGTCTGGGCTTCTGCATCGGGGTCCTGTCAGGTCAGAGCAGGGGCAGCAACGCTGGTGTTTGCCAAGACACACGGCGTTTCGTGAGGGTCATATGCTGTGTGGTTTTCTGGATTCTGAAGTCCAGCATGATTGCACAAACCACTTTTGCATGAATTAAATATTTCCGTCCCCCTCAGGTTGCAACTATTTACAAAAATATTTGTTGAAGTTGATAGTGATCTCTTTTCACATAAAATCAACAATCTCCCTTTTCCTATAGCTACAGAGTGTCACAAATGTGATGAGACATATATTTTGACTTTTTTCCCCTTTAAGAGTATTTTTCCTCCCTCTTCCTTCTTTTTTAACAGGCCTTGTTGCTTAGTTTGTCACTCTTCCAGATTTTTCACCTTGATTTTTGACTGCAGTTGCTTTCCTCAGTCCCATCGTGGTTCTTTCTTGTAACCATTTACAAACAAAACACAAAGCCAGGTTGTTCAAGGTGAATTTTTGACTTCCCAGGCCTTAAGTGGGGTTTAAAATAAAGCAAAGCATGTTCTCCTGTTCCTAGGGGTGCTGTCGTTTTAAGGCAAATTTTGGGTCTATTTGTTGGTGAATATAGAAAGTGTGAAGGATAACTCATGGCACACAGGACTTTAAGAAATCTTCCCTCTGTTGTTGCAGGAAAAAAAACGAAGTCTGAGAAGGATGACAAATTCAAACAAATTAAGGTAAGAAGCGGCTGTTCAATAGTGCGAGGGCTTGTGAAAACAATCTGTTGCAAATTTTTTTTAATAACCCCAGTGGTGTGGATATTTGCAAATCTCTCATGCTTGTGGTTTAGTTAAGTAGCTACAGTTACATGGGATGTTTAGTTGTGTTTTTTTTTTTAACAACATGAAGGCTGGTAGAGCCATGACTGACGTCATTGGTTGACACAGCCCTTGTGTTACAACGCCTGGAGGTTGGGTAACTGGCAGCCTCAGCAGTACATTTGCCATTTGTTTGTCTACGTAAGCAGAAGTACAGTAATTACAGAAGGAATGCTTCTGAACAACAGAGCTACCTTTTGGAGCAGTTAATTTCTGTGCGTAAGGCTTTGGAAATTCATTTTCATTTAGGCGAGGGGGAGAACTTCTGTCGGAGCTGCACCTTCTGCTCATGCTTCGTCAGTTAGAACACCTCAGTTGTAAAGCTCCTCAGTCACTGCCTGACACTTCTGCTTGTTCAGAGTATGGACCCAGACCGACATTAGCTTTCCCTATAAAGCGTGGTGTTTCCCAGCTTCTGCAGAGTGCCTCTACGAGGTGGTTGGTACCACACACCGGCAGGATTCGTTCCGCCTTCAAAGAGCAAATCACAAAGGTTTCAGACTTCCAGCCTTCAGTAAAATTGATGTTCCTGGGTTGCATGTAGCAGCCGTGTCCGCAGCAGAAGGGCAACTCTATCCCTACGTCTCACTCATCAAGTGCTGTGCCACCCATGCCTGGGCCCAGCTTCAGCACCTGCTGGCCAGGAGATGCTCTGGGCTAGGTGAAACTGGAGTCCTGGGAAAACTTCTCTGTTGAAATTGAGTTTGGAAGGCAGACACTGTCCCAGCAGTTGTGACTTGCAGAGTTACATCTCAGAATACTGTAATTTTAAATCTGTCTTAAAGGGACCACTTTTTAAGCATCTTATCTGGATCATGCAGCCATGTACGCTTGTTACAACATGACCCTGATGGTTCAGAGGGAGCTAGTAAACCCCTTTGGTCAGAGCAGAGCCGCGTGCTTTGTCATTCCCCTCCTTCATAATCTTTCTTTTAGTCAAAACATTAAATACCTGAAAGGCTGTAGAAGCACTTGAACAATCTCATCTTCTTCATTAAGGTTAATCTCACTAATAGTCTTTGCTGAGGGAGCTCCAGTGATGCCTGGGAGATTAGTACATGCGGCATTAGGTCTGGAGTAGGTGCCAGTGGGACGATGCTCACCACTTTTGGGAGTGCTTTTTCCCCAGCTGGTTTGCTCTGAGCCACACAGAGTGTCAGCCCAGGCGACGCAGGAGCAGCAAACCTCCAGCACAGGCGCCCACCAGTGATACCTACTACGAGCGCATGGCTCACCAGCCACCAACTATGGTATGGCCACCCAGCTCTTGTAGGCTTTGAGCTGGGGCCAGGTAGTCTTCCTGTCTGTTCCCCCTTACTCTGACAAATGCCTTCACGAACTGGCTTCCAGATATGCCTGGGTTTTAAAACAGATGCTCCTTCTGTGCTCAGCTACTGTTAGACTGACTAGTGAATGTTGAAGGCCGTAATAGCAGAGAAGGGTGGTGGACAAATTAATGCAAATGCACGTTTCTGAGCATTGAAAGCTGCTGCTGATTGCTTTGCTCGGTGATGTGAATTCTTGAGATCCCAGTTGTGTGTTTTCCATTGAATGCCTTGCAGTTACCCTGCAAACCTCTCTGTAGTGGAGGCGAGTGGGAGGCGGCTTCACGATCTGCCTGGTAACTGCAGTGGGGTAATAGCAGTGGAGAGAGAAGCTGAGGATCTGAATGCCCATCTGCGAAGGGACTTCAGCGTAGAAAGAGTCTTGCATTGAGCTCTCCCCTGTTGCCACTGCTGCACCCTGTGGGGACCCTCAGGAGCTGCTGATGGGGCTGAAGAACCCTGCCCAGACCTTGCTGAGCTTGAGCAGGGTGCTCAGGGCACTTCACTGCTTGTCCCTGTGGATGTGAGAGACCTGGGCCTTACCGAATCCCTGCTCCATGTTAGGCAAGGGGAGCTGCAAGCAGGTCTCCCACCTCACAGACAGATCTCTGAACCTCTGGACTTTGGGGAAAATGAGGTCTCTCCATTAAAAAGTGAATTCTCAGCCATGGGAGGAGGGTTTAAATGTCTGAGTAGCCTAGATAAAAATAGGGTCTTTCCTTTGAAACAAAAGTAAGGGCTGAACTGCCTGCCTGAGGCTTAATTTCTGCCTTATCCTAGACATATCCTTTTGACTATGCATGCAACTCCCTGTTGAGATTTTTAAAAATCTAAGTGACACCATTCCCCATGTATTTACCTTAGGCTTCCAGCAGGCATCTGGACACTAACTTAGGTGAGTTAACACCAGCTGTGCCAATGTCCAAGTCCCTTTGCTGATCTGGCACTGTCACCTGAGTTCCAGGATGCATATTTGTTTCTGCAGCTCGAAAGGTGCTGCTAAATGAGTTTCCCTGTAACCAAGCCGCAGTAAAGCCGTGCAAGGTGCCGTGCACGCAGCGTTGCCGTGGGGGCTGCCATGTTTGCTGGTGCATCACAGAGCACCAGAGGCTCAGGGCTGCCCTGTGCAGCCCTCACCTGTCTCTGCAGTCAGTGATCCTCAGTGGATCAGTGCACCCCTCACCTGTCTCTGCAGTCAGTGATCCTCAGTGGATCAGTAGCAGCTGATTTTATCTTTTCTGGCTCTCCAGTTCTTTGACCTGCAGGTCGACACAACCAGTGCTGCTCATCAAAGACGTAGTTGTTGTTAGCACTAACTTTGCACTCTTTTGATGTGCAGAGGGGCCTTGGGACAGGGTGCCGTGCTTGCCTTGCTTGCTCAATGGCTGGGAAGGTGCAGACTTGTGTCGAAGGGACATCTGTTTGAGTGGTCTACAATCACAGCAGGCGATTGTGGAAAGACCTGTCCCACTGTCCCTTTTTTTGTTCCTGTGCTAACAGTTCATATGGTTAGTACTGTGAAGGACTGGAACCACAAGTCCTGAGGCTCGCGTTTGGCCTGCCGTTGCTGAAATGCTTTAGAGCAGTGAAAATGGGCATGGCATGGCATCAGATCCAACTTGGCAGCTCTACATCTCTCTGCAGGCGTCTCGGGGTCAGCAGCCAGGCAGTACTTCCCTTGCAGGGCTGGCACTGCTCAGAGTCAGAACAGAAGACTTGAGACCTCGTAACCGATAACCCTATAAGGGAGCCAGTAGCAGGGAGGATGTTGGACCTGCTGCTAATCCCTTAAATGTCCTTTTAGCTTTTTAAAGAAATCCTGAGTTTATGAAATTAAACTTACTGGTGCCTGTTCTGAAGGGACTTTTTTAGATTCCCACTCGAGTGTACCAGACCTGCAGAGATGCATCTTGTGGAGAGCTCAGTCTATGTAGAACAGGTGGTGTTTTCCCAATGCTCTTGCCCTGTGGTAATGTTTATGATGTGATCTAAAAGACTGTATTTAGTGTAAACACTTTGGTTTGCTTTCAGATTTGCTGCAGAGAAAAATTAAGTCTAGAATTTAGTAATTGTTGTAGAGAAGCTAAGGCTTCCTTTCAGAGAACACTAGGAGATACAGCATGTTTGGAAAGGAATGAGGATGAATATTAAATAAAGTACTATTTTAAAGAAATGTTTCTTCCTTGTTTGTTCCAAATGTTAATCTCTTGTAGTAAATAGCACACTAATTTCTTGCTATCTGAAGGCTCACTCTAAATCTGAAAATTAAAAATAGCTTTTGTTTCAAAGCAGAAGGTTTGGAAGTGGAGCAAACTCTGGCTTCTTCTCAGAGGACCAACATGTTCGTTCTAAGACTGTGTCTAGCAGAGAGCAGGGAGTATATGGCAGGCAGAAGCAATGATTTATTACCACCTCAGAACAAAGAGATGAACTGAGTCCGGGCTCCTAAAATAAATCAAACCTGACCCAATTTTACTGTTTTCATTCTAGCAAGAGCCAGTTGAATCATCTTTTGGGATAAATGGGCTAAATGATGTCACTTCTGACTATTTCCTGTCCTCCAGTATAAAAAATGAAGTTGACAGTACAGTGAACTTTGTAGGTAAGTACTCCTATGCTTTTCTTATATGCTAAGCATACAGGTGACTTCAAAAACCCTTTCAACTCTGCCAAACTCAGCTTTCTGTCAGCATTTTACACTTTGGAGAACAACACAGTTATAATCGGGTCGACACGTTTTCCACTAGCCCAGGCCACAAGAGGTCCTGATTGCAGGTCAGCCCCACTTCCTTGCAGGGGCAGCGAGCAGCACCCTGGCAGCGTGGTGGTTCCCCTGAGAGCAGAACACTTACAGGCATGCTCAGGTGGCTTTTCCTGACATGAACTTACTCCACAGGGTAGGCCTCAGCTATGAGAAGCCTGTAGCCAGTGTCACATGGGAGTTAAAACTGCATTTGGATGACGATTCCACATTGCTCAGAGTTAGAGATTTGTAGAGAGTATCATTTTATTTGGGAGTTTAAACCTGCAGACAAAATGGAGGAACCTTGGTTCTTTTTACTGGCATCTCAATAACAGTTTTTAACATCACTGTGCTAAGGACAAGGATCAGCAAAACTGGATTTAGAAACTGGTACATGAGGAATTAGCTGTCACCTCAGCATGTGAGTAATTGGTTCTCAGTAGAATAATTGGGCTGGTTTTTGACAGCTCTTTTTTGGCTGAGATTGTCTCTGCAGCAAGGACTCTGGAAATGTGACCCATATACCGTTTTCTCTAGAATTCTGCTTTTATATTGTCAAAAAAATGTTTGAAAAATACATTAGTCTTCGTTTTGGAGAGATGGCAGAAATTGTGTGGTGACTGTTTTTGATGCCTATGTCTTGGGTCACAGGGCTTTGTGTAGTCATGCCCCTCAAGTACTTCTGTGACTGAGGAGTTTGTGAGTAGTTTTGCTCTCTTTATGGCAGTTCATTTAATCAGCTGTTGCTTTGTGAGAGTGCTCGAACGTGATTGTTGCTCCTACTAATACAGAGGGGTTTATAACTTGAAGGAACAGCCACTCTAGTGCTGTTAGTGCTTCCTATTTAGTCACTGACTCATAAACAAATCTGAAACACACCCAGGCAAATACGCAGTCCCAGGGAAGAAGATTCGTACACTTTTACTTTATTTACAATCTTAAAGTCAAACAGAGCTCAATTAATAAGTCTTTGGAATGTACCTGATATTCCCCCAAATCCGCTAACATCAGAGTTAGTAATTTTGCAGTGAACATCTCAGTTTTCTACCGTACAGTGTATCCTGAACTCCTGTTTGATTTTATGATGAGATGAATGCACATTGCACCTTAGAAGATTGCAGTAGTTTACAAGACAGCACCCATATTGGCAATGTTAGCTTCTAAAAATGGTCAGAGGTCTGTCATGGAAACCAAGCAAGAGGTTCAGAGAAACAAAAATGAATTTGCACCTTAAGGGCTTTCATTTTTCTCTGGACTCACAGAATCCATTTTCAGGGGTAGGACAGCAAGGCTTGGGTGGATAACTGTCATCCAGTGTTGTTTAATTAATGGCTTGTGAAGCGTGCTGCTTATTCAGACTGGAGAGAAAAGCCCTTATTTAGGACTGCAAGTGAGATTTTAATGTAAACAGGAGGAAAACAGTAAAATAGATCTGTTCCACAGAAAGCAGGAAAGTCAGCTGGAGAGGAGGGAAGACAAACAGCACCTGCAGTGTTTCTGACCTACGTGTGGCTCACTGGAAAGTGGTGGCGTATTGCCCAAGTGAGCAGTAATTTTTGCTGTGCAAGTTATCTCTTGGGGTGGGTAAGAATTTGTCAGGTGTTGAGGAGAAAGATAAAACAGTGCAGATGGCCTGCTTGTAACCTGCCAGGGTTGCACAATATTGGTTTCTCCCAGATAAAAATTAACTCTGTGTATGTGTGCTCTTGCCCCTCACACCCTACTCAATAAGAAGCAGGTTGTTTCAGAAACTGGAAAGGTGAAAATACAGTAGAAACTAAGTATCTGGAACAAAATGAGGAGGAGGAGGAGTAACAGTAGTGATTGAACTTCTAAAAAAAAAGACTATCTAGTATTTATGTAACTTTTTTTTATGCTGGAATTGTCTCATGAAATACACATCCAGGTTTGGGGAATTTTCCAGCGGTTACCCAACATTACATAAAGTAAAATGATACGCAGCTTTTCACTGGGAGAAAAACCTGTCACTTTTATTTTGCAAAAAGTTGTGTTCTAGCCTTCTCTAAAGACAGAAGGCAGAAGTGGCTTGTGTGTGTATGTACATGTGCATTCATGTAAATTTATCTTTATTCATCCAGGAATAGATGCTATCTTTTGCCTTTTTTAAAATTAATAATTGGAGTACTTAGGTCACTTAACAGAAAAATTTCAAGATCTACTGTGTTTCATTGCCTGCATTTTTTCCCACCGTAGGTCTAGAAAAAAACGTGCTGTCTGAATTTCTAACAGCTCTATGTTTGTACAGAATTTGTCTGTATGAAGATTGTTCCTTTTGAAGTTTTATGTTCCAGTGAAAGGACACCTGTAGTCCTTCCCTTTCTCTCGGGCAGCTGTAGATTGAGGTTAGCCATCCTCTGAGACAGCTCCATCCCTGTGTGCTCTTTCGATCTAGCAAGTGACTTTCAGCTCCGTGCTGGATTGATGCAGATGTCATGTGTTCATACTGCTGGGATCGATAGGGGAGTGGTACAAGACAGGGAATTGCCTCAGGCAGCTCCAGAGAAGAGAGATTCTTGCTTTCACCACAGTTTTGCTCGGTAACTTCCTGGTACCTTGTTTATTCCCCTGTTTCGAAAGGGTTTTGTGTAGCACAATTAGTGTGTGCAAAGCATTTCACGACACTTGTAAAGCGTCCATGGTGACTTCACTTTGTAGAAATAAATAATGTTCCTTTGATATGAAATATCATGTGCCTGAGGGAATAGGAAAACCCTCTGTTAATAACTAACCAGACTGTAGCTTTCAGTCGCAGGCCATGGGGATTACAGATCACAGGTATAACTATGCTTTTCTACATGCCATCACTGGCATTGCAAGGATCAGTGAGAATAAGCATGTAATCGGAGGAGAAATTTTTCACAGATACATGTGATGTATAAATCAGAGTCCCACCATGTTTTGCATGACCATGTGGCCATTTTTTTTTGCACGACAGCTCTGGTCTTCTGGTGCATAATTTACATGAGAGCATCCAGACGCCATGGGATGTTGGCAGCTTGCTGGTTAAGGATGCTTTCCCAGATTAGGAGAGATTGCTGTGGTTCGTATGTCCTGGCGAGACCACATTTCTGGATGGAGGAGTATGGCTGTGGGTTTCCCTGGGACATCCTCTGGACAGCTGATATGTCAGAGAGGGCTCAAGGACGTTGTGTGTGAGAGCCAGGGGAGAGTTAGGTGTTTTGAGTCATCACAAGTGGGGGAAAAAATGTCTCCAAAGGTGAGGGAAACTAAATAAATCACACGGATTCCCTTATAGAAGTCCCACTGAAAGCAGGTGGTGGCCATGGAAGAAAGGGCTGAGATGGTATTGGAGACTCACTCAAATACCAAGCAGGCTCCAAAGACAGGCTCCTACAGATCCAGCAGGGTTGAGGTGTTTAAGTAATCGATTTTTTATTTCTAACCCCAAGTTGTAGGACAGCCGCATCTTGATGGCAGCAGCGAGGAGCAGGTGATAGTTGCCAATCCTCCTGATGTTTGCCAGGTAGTAGAGGTGACAACAGAAAGTGACGAACAGCCCCTCAGCATGAGCCAGCTGTACCCCCTCCAGATCTCCCCTGTTTCATCCTATGCAGGTAAGCCTCCTGGTGTTTCTTTATGCTCTTTTTTTGGTAATGTTTGGAAGGCAGTGGGGGAAAGGAGGCTCTTCCAGGGTAGCTGGCAAAGATCCACAAATGTCTGTTCTGCTGCCTTCTGTGTTTTTAACGAAACTCAAAAACTCAGTTCTCTACTCATTTCAGCTTGGGAAACAACTTGGCAGATCTGAGGTTGAGAATGTGAGCTGCAGGTTTTAGCCTGTGACTAATGGAAAAAGAACCTTTTTAGATGTAATACAAAGAGGTCATTTCGTCTTTTATTAGAGGGGCGTTTTCAGGAATACAAATGATGTGCTGCAAATATAGTGTGTCCCCCTTGCCCCCCGACTTAATAAAGATGAAAGGTTTTCTCTGCTGTATGTTTCTTTTTAATGGTTAGGGTTGGAAGGGACCTTGAAGATCACCTAGTTCCAACCCCCCTGCCATGGGCAGGGAAACCCTCCACTATACCAGGTTGCCCAAAGCCTCATCCAATCTGGCCTTGAACACTTCCAGGGATGGGGCATCCCACAACTTCTGTGGGCAACCTGTTCCACTGCCTCACCACTCTGAGTGAAAAATTTCTTTCTTATATCTAACCTAAATCTCCCCTCTTTCAGTTTAAATCCATTGCCCCTTGTCCTATCACTACATG